GAACTGAGGAAGATGATGGATAGCCAGAGGCACGTGAATCAGCAAATGATAAACGTCCTGACCAGCATTTCGAAGCTCTTTGAAATCGTTGAGAGTAATGATCAAGAAAGAACCTCAGTTAGTACTTCAGTGAAATCGACTCAAACAGACCGGCCAGTCAAAGGTGATAAAACAGGGAAGAGGTCGGCGAACGAACCCACACCCGAGAACCGCCCACAACCGAAAGATAAACGCATTCGTGTCAACTCACCTCGAGCACAAGCAGAGAAAATGGATCGCCAAACTCGTAGCAGTGATCAACCAGCAACTGCTGACAACGCGGCCCAGAAGCCAAAAGGCGATAACCAGTCGCTATGCTCCAACGCTACCACAGCCAACTTAAATATGGAGTGGACTAAGGTGAAACCGAAAAGACGGCAGAGAAAAAAGCCAACCCGCCCGGATGCCATTGTAGTCAAATCCTCTGGAGAGTGTTCTTATGCTGACATTTTGAAAATGGTAAAGAGCGAGGAAAGCCTGAAGGGTTTAAGCGAAACTGTGCGGAAGATCAGGAAAACAGCTAGTGGCGATCTCTTGTTTCAGCTGAATAAGTCTGAGGACGTAAATACTACGAAACTTCAAGAGGCAATCGAAGGAGTACTGGCAGGTAAAGCAGAAGTCAGGACCCTAACTGAAATGGTTCATATAGAGATACATGATATCGACGAAGTTACGACAAGCGAAGAGGTGTGCTTAGCTTTAAATGGTCAGGGTGGGTCCACTAAAGTGCTAATATCCGATATCCGGTCGATGCGAAAAGCGTACGGAGGCACACAGACCGCAACCTTACTCCTACCCGAGAGCTTTGCCAATAAGCTAGTAGGCCAAGGTAAAATCAGAATTGGCTGGGTTATCTGCCGAATAAGACATAAAATACAGCCAAAGCGCTGCTACAAATGTTTTGAGTTCGGCCACATATCGAAGGGCTGTCGGAGCAGCGACGATTTTGGCAAATCGTGCTTCAAGTGCGGTCAAACTGGGCATACGGCCAAACTATGCACAAATGCTCCACGGTGCTTATTATGCGTAAAACGCGGCAGCAATCCTACCAGCCACCAGGCAGGAGGCAACAAGTGTCCGGTATATCAACTGGCGCTAAGCAAAATAAAGGTATGATGAGACTTTTGCAGCTTAACCTCAACCACTGCCAAGCGGCGCAGGACCTCCTGTCGCAAACAATATTAGAGGAAAAAATCGATATTGCGATACTCAGTGAGCCATACAAACCGAAATCGTCTCAGTGCTGGCTTCAGGATCAAAGCGGAAAAGCGGCTCTCTGGTCATGCGGGAACCCAGCTCGCTGGATGCAGGGTGCCGTGTCCGCAAATGGCTTCATTGGTGCGGAAATCGGCAACTTGTACGTATACAGCTGCTACATTGCGCCAAGCATAAGTATACAGGTATTCGAAAATATACTGTTAAATCTAACAATTGATGCTAGAGGCAGGCAGAATGTTCTTATAGCAGCCGACTTCAACGCGTGGGCACAAGAGTGGGGATGCCGCAGTACAAGCCCAAGAGGGAGAGCTCTTCTGGAGGCTTTCGCTTGTTTGGACGTCGTTTTACTAAACACAGGAACTGAACACACTTTCAGCCGAAACGGTTTTGGGTCAATAATAGACCTGACCTTTATCAGTTCCGGGCTATATAGATTCAATGAATGGAAACATAGCACGTGTTATACGCAAAGTGATCATTCAGCTTTAATTTGCAATATCAACTGCATACGAAAACTGTCTAAGCGGACTCACAACCCCGGAGTATCGCACGGGTGGGAAAACAAGTACTTTCGTCCCCGAATCGTTTACCAGCATGCTACCATCCACCGTTTACCAAGGGTCAGCAGACTCCATGGCCGAACACCTAATGGCCGACATTCGCGCAGCTTCCATGCATCAATGGCCAGGAGAACTTCCTCCACGTATCGTCATGCGGTCTACTGGTGGAACGATAACAT